GTTCGAGTCCCGGACCCGGTGGCTTAAACTCACGCCGGGCGCGTGTGCGTGCGTGCCCAAGATCCCGAGAGGAGAATGGAGGAGAAGGGATTGCGGCGTGGCCATCCCCCCTGGGGGGTGATTTCTCACTTTTCCTCTCTCTGTCTTTCTCTGCTGCTATGCATGTACCCGATGGCAAAAAAGAAAGAAAAGGCAAAAGCTGCAGCGGACACTGCTCAGTGGGAGAAGGGACGAGAGTGCCATCTGAACGTCCGAGAGTTCCGAAGGCCTGGCCTGAGTCCTGCATGAGAGGAGAAGGCGGGGCTGGGGTCCCGACAGGCCGTGGTCGGCCTAGCGTCCTTTCCAGCCAGCAGGGGAGGGGAGGGGCTGGAGCTACGTGCGAAAGGCGTGCCCGGGCCGGCCGCACCTGTGAGCGGCATTGCAGATGTGTATCTGGGAACCAGACTTCCCAGTCCCGCCCCGATGGGGCAGACAGCAAGTCGCTTTTCTTTTTTAAAGCTTTAAGCCATAGGGCGCGCGTGCTTGCTGGAGAGAGACAGAGAGAAGGAAAGTGAGAAATCACTTCCCCAGAGGGGGCGGCCTCACTGCAGTCCCTTCTCCTGAAAGTCTCCTCTTCTGATTTTGGGCACACATGCCCAGTGTGATTTTTCTAGCCACCAGATCCGGGACTTGAACCACCGTTGGCCACGGGGGAATCCAACGCCTTAGCCACCACGCCACCTGCTGGCCTGAGACAGCAAGTTTCAGCGCAGGTGTTCACCGTCTAGCTCGGCTGCAGTGAGCGTCCGGGCAGCTCCCTCTCCAAGGTTTCACCTGCTTGGTGTCCCCATCTTGCTGTCTGTGACTGTACAGAGAACAGCTACGGCCACCCGTCCTCAACTGCACGACCTCTGAGCAGGGGATGGCAGGCCAGCCAGGTGCTGTGATGGTGAAGGCACTGGATCTCACACGGCCATCTGCACAGTTCAAGTCCCAGACCCAGAGAAATACCTTGGTCACATGGTCATGTGTGCCCCAAAATACCGAGAGGAGAACAGAGGAGAAGGGATTGCGGTGTGGCCAGAAATCGCCCTCCAGGGGGGATGGCCACACCACAATCCCTTCTCCTCCATTCTCCTCTCGGGATCTTGGGCACGCACGCACACGCGCCCGGTGTGAGTTTAAGTCACCGGGTCCAGGACTTGAACCGCGGTTGACTACCTAGGAGTCCAGCAACATAGCCATTACACCAGCTGCCGGTCCCAATACACAGGTAATTTTACCAGCAAAAAAATAAGTTTCACGTGTAAGTCTATTAATATTGGTTTGTTCACAATCCAAGTTCCTGAACAGGGCAAACAGTGGTCCTGACTTCCTGCTGCAGTAAGTTGATGAATTCGTGATCCATCCCGGGGGGGGGAGGGAGGGGATGGCCCCAAGTGAGGGGCCAGCAGGTGGCGTGGTGGTTCAGATACTGGACTCACATGGCCGACCGTGGTTAGACCCAGACTTGAAGGCTTGTTTTCTTGCTTTCCCTCTCACTCTCTCTGGTCAAATTAAATAATATTAATAATAATAAATAAAATAAAATAATTCTTTAAAATAAGAGAGAGGTGGGGAGAATGCCAAATATATGCAACTAATTCTCCTTGAAATCCAGAATTTCTGGTGAGGGAGGAAGGTTTGAAAAATGGAAGTGTAGGAAAATAGCACGCCACCCCAAAATTACTCCACCCCACTACCACGGTCAGCTGTCTATAGCGAAGAGTAAACTTACTTCTTTCTTTATTTTTTTAAAGAGGTTTTTGCTGTAGGGTACGTGTGCTCACCAGAGAGACAGAGAAAGAAAGAGAGACAGAAAGCGAGAAATCACCCCCCAGGGGGGATGGCCACACCACAATCCCTTCTCCTCCATTCTCCTCTCGGGATCTTGGGCACGCACGCACACGCGCCCGGTGTGAGGTTAAGCCGCTGTGTCCAGGATGCGAACCACAGTCGACTACGTGAGAGTCCAGTGACGTAACCATTATGCCATCTGCTGGTCCCACTGCTTCTTTATTTTGAAGGTTCTCCATGTTACATAAAAATCCAACCACAGCGGCGACACTGTAGAAATTTCTCAGAGAGTGGCGTGGCGGTTAAGGGCACTAGATCCCACATGCCCAACTGTGGTTAAAGTCCTGGACCTGGTGGCCTGTTTTCTCACTTTCTCTCTCTCTTTCTCTCTCACTCTGTCTCTCTCTGGTCAAATTAAAATAAAATAAATAAAGTTAAATAAAACAACTCTTAAAAAAATAAAAGTTTCTCAGAGGGCCCCCTGGACAAAGGGGTTCCATGGCATACCCTTTTGAAAGATGTCTGTAGGCAGGGGACGGCAGGTGGCGTGGTGGTTAAGACCCAATCAAGACGTGGACTGAAGGGCATAGCTGTCTCCCCTGGGGAGGGCAGCACCCGCTGGCCTGTCTGGCCAGGCTCCTCTGCGTTCTGGTTCAGGTCATTATCAATCCACTGGGACCTGCATCTCCACCCATTTCTCCCGACTGCTGGGATCATCAACACAGTCCTCTCCTGTTGAGAAGATCTGAAGCTCCAATATCAGCCCTAAACTAAGGCTGATGAAAGTCATGCAGGGACCAGCAGGTGGCGTGGTGGTTAAGGCACTGGACTCCCACATGGCTGACCGTGGTTCGAGTCCAGGACCTGATGGCTGGCTCTCTCACTTTGCCTCTCTCTCTCTCTCTCTATGTCTCTCTCTCTCTGCATGTGAATGCATGTGATTAGAGCAAATTAGAAACAATAATAACAATAATAAATAGAATTCATAAGTAATTCTTTAAAAAAAAAAAAGAAAAAAGGAATAAAGCCATTCTTTCCAAACCATTTGGGGCTTCCCCATGTTTACTCCACTCTCTGTCAATCAACACATGGGAAATTATGCTTACCAAGGGAATACTGTCCCAGGAGACATCATATAGGTTCTTCAGGGACCAGCAGATGGTAGAACCATGATATCGCCGGACTCCCACATGACCGACCACAGTTCGAGTCCCAGACCCAGAGGCTTGACACTTAGGCCAGGCGCGTGTGCGTGCATGCCCAAGATCCCGAGAGGAGAATGGAGAAGGGATTGCGGGGTGGCCACTTCCCCTGGGGGGTGATTTCTCACTTTCTGTCTCTCTGTCTCTCTGGTGAGTGCATGCGCCCTGTAACAAAAATCTCTCAAGAAAGAAAGAGAAAAAAATGCTGTATAGAGCCCAAGTGATCAATGACTTTTTACTGAGTAACTGAAAAAGCTATTGGTTCCAAATAAAGATCAAAACACAGGCTCGGAGGTGCAGTTTCCTCGTTTTTGCTTTTGTTATTTTAGACTTTTGTCATAAGCCATGTGTGGTCACCAGAGAGAGATACACAGACAGGAAGTGAGAAATCACGCCCCGCACCCCCCAGGGGATGGCCATGCCATGATCTCTTCTCCATTCTCTGTGGGGAGTTTGGGCGTGCGCGTGCACACACACACACACACACACACACACACAACATGATTTTCAATCCACTGGGTCCAGGACTCGAACCGCCATCAGTCACGTGAGAGTCCAGCACCTTAACCACTATGCCACCTGCTGGCCCCGGGTTGCACACTTTCTATTTTCCTTTGTAACTAGCCTTTTCCATGCCGGAGGGTGTTGTGTGAATTTTTTTAGAAGAGTGGCTTCATCAGATTCTTTTCCCTCCGCTGTTGAACTTGGCGCAAACACCCAGAGGTCAGTGTGAGGGGCCAAAGGGCACTGCCCGGATGGTGACAATGAACCCGGGCCACCTCGGCTCACTGGCGAAAGGCAGGGCACGCCACCACGGCTGCTTACCAGAAGGGGAACACGATCAGCCGGCTGATGAAAAAGATGGCAGAGAAGATGAAAAACAGGGTGTTGCACGTCTGCTTCCATCTGGCGTAGGAGAACATCTTAGCAGCCTGAAAATGAACAGAGAAACTTCCGGATGAAGTGACATGATTATGTTGTTTTGATTTTTGTTGTTCTTAGAGATTTTTGCTATAGGGTGCGTGCGCTCACCAGGGACAGCAAGCGAGAAATCACCCCTCAGGGGGAGGGCCATGCTGCAATCCCTTCTCCTCCAGTCTCCTCTTGGGATTTTGGGCACATGCATCTGGTAGCTTTAAGCCACTGGGTCTGGGACTCGAAATGTGGTTGGCCATGTGGGAGTCCAGTGATATAACCGTGATGCCACCCGCTGGCCCCAGTAAATAAACTTTTAAAAAGCAAATGACAGGACCAGCTTATGGTGGTGGTGGTGGCTGGATCCCACATGGCTGACCATGCAGTTTGAGTCCTGGACCCAGTGGTTTGAGAAACATGCGAGGTGTGTGAGTAGGTGTGCCCGAAATCCTGAAGGGAGGGAGAAATGGAGGAGAAGGGATTGCAGCAGGTCCACATCCCATGGGAGGTGGTTTCTCACTACTTCTCTCCCTCCCTCTTTCTCCAGCAAGTACATGCTCCTCCTGACAAATTACACAAACAAATAAATAAAAGACTGACAGAGATGGGACCAGCAGTTGGCGTAATGGCTATGTCACTGGACTCCCATGTAGTCGACCGCGGTTTGAGTCCCAGACCCGGTGGCTTAAACTCACGCTGGGCGCATGTGTGTGCATGCCCAAGATCCCGAGAGGAGAATGGAGGAGAAGGGATTGCGGCGTGGCCATCCCCCCTGGGGG